CTCTCTCTCTCTCTCTCTCTCTCTCTCTCTCTCTCCATTCTTTCTTTCCTGCGTCTCTATCTTTCTCACTCCCTCATTCCGACGGATGAGTTTGGAAAGAATGGTCAGCTTTATATTTGTTAAGTTGTGTTGTCCACTGTTATATCGAGTCATGTACGGGGGAAACGCAGATGTACAGTAATAAATAACAATGTATGTTGCCACGTACATATAGCCAATCTTTGGTAGGCGCCCATTGACAACAACTATGGAAGTACTGAGAGTCTGTCTCTGTTTCTCTCTCTCTCTCTCTCTGTATTTCTCTGTATGGACATATATTTCCAGATGTCAAGATTGGTCAAAACCGGACAGAAGAGAAAGTCAGGCGAAAAGTGTGATGCAACGGCGGATCACTTTCCACTACTGGGGGCCAAAGAAGAGAAAACGATTGAGATGGACCGGAACTGGGATCAAATAGTAGAGAAGCAGCGAGAACATATAGACAGGCTAACAGACGAGGTACATAAGCATAAACAATTGGCGAGACAGATGTCAGATGAAGTAGGCCGTATTAAGTCACTGCTTGTAGAAATGACAGAAACTGCGGAACACAGGATGTTCATCGTATTCTGGTTGTTGCTATCCGATCCTAAATGTTTAGACATAACTCGTCTGAGGGAGGGCATGACTGCCAGAATGAAGGCAATAGTTGAAACGAAGACCACCACGTTTGACGAGTTCCAGACATGGTTGGATGGTGAAAGGCGCAGGCGCACCGCGGTCTTGAATCGGTTCGCCGCCCACGTCACAAAGAGAACTCACAGGGAATCACAAGGACTTGATGTCGCATCTTGTGGCAGCCTTGAGAAGTGTGTGCTCAAGGAGGGGTGGGCATCGTATGATAGCCAAGAATATAAAACGGGTTCGGTAACTGTTTCGACACGCAGTGTCGTCGACCTCTTGGTCTTCGCAGCGGACTGTATTCGCCACTGTAAGGAAACCGTAGACGAGTACAGTCTCTGTAATGAGGGTGTTGCGATTGCTAAGGATGACCTTCCTCACAATATGACGTCTCTGCTGTTGAACAGTTGCTTGGACGTCATTGATGCCCTGCAACACACACGAGGTAGGTTGTTGGATGGAGAAATGACGGTGACTTGTGCGAACGAAGTTGTCATGGGAAGTGCAGAAGGTGAAAGGACGAAGGCAGGTGAAGAAATGGACACAACAATGCAAACCGCCACAGGAATTGGGACCACTGTCGGGGACTGCGCGCCTGCGCCGCATGCCCTGCTGGCGTGCAACGATGTTGCCGCACTGAATTGTCACCACGTTCGTCACAACTTCCCATGTGTCGTCGCTAGCAAAGAACCTTGTGCTGATGCAAAATCTGTTGCGCTGCCTATGCCGACGGACACATTTCAAAAGTTCATTGCAACAGTGAATTCGCGATAAATGGCGAGGCTGGTTGCGGACTGTCTGTTTCATCTCATATCGTACATCAAAGAGATAATGGTACAGGTCGTAACGAATGCAGGCCAGCATGGAGGGAATAACGAATGTCATAATTGCAGGAAAGGACTTCACATCAACGACCACTTAAAAACTTTCTACACAAGATGTCAAATCGTGGCTGTGCAGGTGGCCAGGGATGCGTGATCTCTCTCTCTCTCTCTCTCTCTCTCTCTCTCTCTCTCTCTCTCTCTTTCTCTCTCTCTCTCTCACACACACACACACACACACATACACACACACTATTATGTATGTTTATTGCTGCCTGTATTACAACTTCTTCGTCCACACTTTTCTGTCTATAATGTTCGCAGGTTTTTCCCGTATTGACATACTTGTGGTTCACTACTGCGTGCCATGTCAGTGTCCACCGCTGCTGTTTGTTGTCGTTCTGGTCCGCAGTTGTGAACCGCCATCTGTCGCTGCGTCTTTCCCCATCCAACAACATAAGGTTCACTACTGCGGGCCAATGCCTGTCTCGCATGAGATGTTTGTTGGATTTTTGGCCCGCAGTAGTGAACCTCTCGCTAGTGCTGCGTCTTTGCATTTCCAACTACTTGTGGTTCACTACTGCGTGCGATATCAGTGTTAACCGGTGGTGTTTGTTGTCGTTCTGGCCCGCAATAGTGAAACGCTCTCTGTCGCTGCGTCTTTCCCTGTCCAACAGCATTAGGTTCACTACTGTCGATCAATGTCTATCTCGCATGAGATGTTTGTTGGAGTTCTGACCCGCAGTAGTGAACCTCTCGCTCGTGTTGCGTCTTTGCATTTCCAACTACTTGTGGTTCACTACTGCGTGCCATATCAGTGTCAACCGGTGGTGTTTGTTGTCGTTCTGGCCCGCAGTAGTGAACTGCTCTCTGTCGCTGCGTCTTTCCCTGTCCAACAGCATAAGGTTCACTACTGCGGGCCAATGTCTGTCTTGCATGAGATGTTTGTTGGAGTTCTGGCCCGCAGTAGTGAACCGCTCTCTGTCGCTGCGTCTTTCCCTGTCCAACAGCATGAGGTTCACTACTGCGGGCCAATGTCTGTCTCGCATGAGATGTTTGTTGGAGTTCTG